TGACCCTTCACCTGTCTCTCCCATTTGACCCTTAAGACTGCTTAACCCTAAACAAAATTTGACCCTTCATAATTTTTTTTTGTAATAGAGATGAAAAAAAGGTATTTGAATTTTGCCCCACATTATTTTTTTCATATCGTTCTACTTTGACCCACGCTCTTCTGAAAACGACGAATTTTACTGATCAGGGAAGAGTGTTTACAGATCAGATAGTATTGAGGGTCAAATGGGAGAGACATGCGGAGGGGTCAAGAGGGTCAAACGGGAGAGACAAGCGAAGTGATCACTTCATTTGTCTCTCCCATTTCACACTTGAGAACGTTTGACCCTTCTGATTACTCTACTTGTTCCTCCCGTCTGATCCTTAAAAAAATTGGACTCTCCACCTGTCACTTCCGTTTGACCCTAAAGCACATATGACCCTTCATAATTTTTTTAGTAATAAAGGTGGAAAAAGAAGTGAAGAACTACATTCGTTGTTTTCTACCATTCCACTTTGCCTCACGCTCCCCTACATGAAAAACATGCTCCATTGCCATTCAAAATCACCTTGTCATCGTACTCCCAATCCCGATTCTATCGCCTGCCAATTATTGTCGCGTGTTGCGGAACCTGTCATTGATATTCCGTTTGGTAATCTCATTCATTGTCCCTCATTTTTTTTACATAATATCAGTCAGTAGCACACATAGCGCAGAAAAAAAAATATCGGTTATAAATAACTAGAATCGAAGGCTTGAAATCCCTTGCGAGTCTCTCTCAGCTCTGTCATCACTCCTGAGGACATTTATCTATTTTCATTCCATATCTTACATTGTGACGTCTGTCGAAAAAATCATTTCATTGACTTTTTTGCTGATGAAGAAATTTCAAAAAGAAAAAACAACAAGAGTATAGACTAGACTAAAAGGAAATATTCTACACCTACCTGCGAATGGCCGATTCTTTTTAATTGTAAATCAACCCTAACACTCAATTTTGCCCCTTCTGACTAGAGATGCAAAATGACCGTCATTTTTTAAATCGCATCATATGACCAAAAAATGACGTCTTGTGACGGTCATGCAACACAAAATTTTTCCAACTAAAAATGATGGTCACAAGTAATTTGTAAGTAAATTGATGGCAAACCATCTATACAGATGCATAATGATGGTCATATCTAGTTCCTAATTTGCGACGGTCATAAATAAAAATAAGATCTATTTATAAATATAACAATGTCCATGATTTCCATCTCAAAATGAGCATTAGGCGAAATTCTATCTGAAAAATCCTATTGAAAATGTTCGAATTCTCCATAGGATTTCCTATAGGATATTCTACGGGGGAATCCTATAGAATTTTTTCATACGTGTGGTTTCCACAGTTTTCTTCTTCGATGCAAATCAACCCTCCACCTCAGTTATGACTCTTGTGGCCCTTGTGACCCTAAATTTCCAAACAGTCCCCACATCAGTAGCGGAGTGGTCAAACGGTTCAAGTCAATTTAGTCTTCAGTTGAGTTTTCCAGAAATATTTCCGAATTCAACGGAGATGAAATTTTCACAATAACCTTTTTTGTAGAGCGAATTGAGTGCTAATTATGATTGAGTGCTACTTAGCCTAATTATATTAGATTTCGAGATATTCATTGAACCCTGGCCAACAGCCAAAAACCGACTTGAACCCTTCGACGACTTCGCTACTGAAATGATTTCCACCTGTTTCCCTAAACGAAAAGTCCTGAAAAATCTCAAAATAAGGGGTAAACTACACAAACCAAGAGTTGCCATGCCCCAATCGTTGGTGTTCACCCCTTAATAAATATCACTCCCCAAACTAACTCCCTCAACCTGATTTACAGTGACAAATACACTCGCTTCTGCCAATGGAAAAACCTCGAGTTAAACATCCAGGTAAAGTACCCCATTTCCCCCCGCCCCAATAAATCAATACCTCAAACCATCATTGTCTTCCAGTTGACAATGAACGACTTCAGTGTCCACCGGATAATAGGCCGTGGTGGTTTTGGTGAAGTATACGGCTGTCGTAAAGCAGATACCGGTAAAATGTACGCTATGAAATGCCTCGACAAAAAACGTATAAAGATGAAGCAAGGCGAAACCCTGGCCTTAAACGAGAGAATAATGCTCTCCCTAGTCAGCACCGGGGTTGACTGTCCTTTCATAGTCTGCATGACCTACGCCTTTCACACACCCGACAAATTATGCTTTATCCTCGATCTGATGAACGGTGGCGATCTCCACTATCACCTAAGTCAGCACGGAGTATTCAATGAACCTGAGATGAAATTTTACGCGGCTGAAGTAATTCTTGGTCTTGAACACATGCACAGACGATACATCGTCTACAGAGATCTCAAACCGGCGAACATACTTCTTGATGAGCATGGCCACGTCAGGATATCGGATCTTGGTTTGGCCTGTGACTTCTCGAAGAAGAAGCCCCATGCCAGTGTTGGGACACATGGTTACATGGCGCCTGAGGTTTTGTCTAAGGGAACAGCTTACGACTCGAGCGCAGACTGGTTCTCATTCGGCTGTATGCTTTACAAATTGCTGAAGGGCCACAGCCCCTTCAGACAGCACAAGACCAAAGACAAGCATGAGATCGATAGGATGACCTTGACGATGAACGTTGAACTCCCGGAGTCTTTCTCTCGTGAACTTCGGTCGCTTCTTGAGGGACTGCTGCAACGGGACATCAACACCAGGTTAGGGTGCAGGGGAAGGGGGGCCGACGAGCTCAAGGAGCATTCCTTCTTCGGGGGGATTGATTGGCAGCAGGTGTATCTGCAGAAGTACACGCCGCCCTTCATACCGCCTAGGGGTGAGGTCAACGCTGCTGATGCCTTTGACATCGGCTCTTTTGATGAGGAGGACACCAAGGGGATCAAGCTTACTGATGCCGATCAGGATCTCTACAAGAACTTTCCGCTTGTCATATCTGAGAGGTGGCAGGCGGAGGTATCTGAGACCGTCTTCGAGACGATTAACAACGAGGCGGATAAGGTCGAGAACAAGAAGAAGGCGAAGCAGAAGTTGAGGTTTGACGCTGATGAGAAGGGCTCCGATTGCATTCTCCACGGGTATATCAAGAAACTGGGGGGACCTTTTGCCAGCGCTTGGCAGACGAGGTATGCTAAACTCTACCCGAACAGGTTGGAACTGCATCCGGAGTCCGCTACGAAACCTGAGCTCGTCTTCCTGGATCAGGTAGATAGCGTTTGCAGGGGGTCTTGGGGATCCTTGGGGCGGCGGAGTTATGAGGGGATGTTTGTTGCAGGTGGAGGAACTCTCACCTGATTTGCAGAATGTCAAGGGGGAACAGTGCATCGTGGTGAGGACGAGGGATGCGAAAATTGTACTTACTAATCCGGTGAGTTATCACTTTTTTAATCGACATTTCTAGTTTTTGGAAAGCATGACTCTCCCTCGCCCTGGAGGGGCTTCGCCCCCTTAATCCCTGAGAGCAGTAGTAGTTCAGTCAAGGAAACCGATGAAAACGTGAATTTCTTGATTAGTCGACTGTGTACGAAAAATTGTCAATCGATGGGAACAAATATTCTGAACTACATCCAAGGATGCCTCCTTCCCCTCGGAGGGGCTTGGCCCCTCCAATCCCTAAAACCAATAGTAGTCCAGTCAATTAAGCCGATCAAAACATGACATCTTGTGATTAGTTGAGTATGTACGAAAAATTTTCAATCGGGGAAGAATGTCTTGATCACGATATCAAGATGCCCCTCCCGGGGGGGACTCGTCCTTCCAATCCCTAAGAATAAAGCCGATAAGACTTCGTCCCTCCAGTCAATAAAGCCGATAAAAAGGCGAACTCTCATGATTTGTCGATAGTGTACGAAAAATTGTCAATCGATGGGGAAAAATGTCCCGATCAAAATATAAAAATGCCCTTCCGGAGGGGCTCCGCCCCTCCAACCCCGAGAGTAGTAGTAGTCTAGTCACTGAAACCGATAAAAAGGCGAAATTTTATGATTTGTCTATAGTGTACGAAAAATTGTCAATCGATGGGAAAAAATGTCCCGATCAAAATATAAAAATGCCCTTCCGGAGGGGCTCCGCCCCTCCAACCCCGAGAGTAGTAGTAGTCTAGTCACTGAAGCCGATAAAAAGGCGAAATTTCATGATTTGTCTATAGTGTACGAAAAATTGTCAATCGATGGGAAAAAATGTCCCGATCAAAATATAAAAATGCCCTTCCGGAGGGGCTCCGCCCCTCCAACCCCGAGAGTAGTAGTAGTCTAGTCACTGAAGCCGATAAAAAGGCGAACTCTCATGATTTGTCTATAGTGTACGAAAAATTATCAATCGATGGGAAAAAATGTCCCGATCAAAATATAAAAATGCCCTTCCGGAGGGGCTCCGCCCCTCCAACCCCGAGAGTATTAGTAGTCCGGTCATAAAAGTCGATAGCAAGGCGAAATCCCATGATTTGTCAACAGCGTACGAAAAATTATCATCTCGATGGGAAAAAATGTCCCGATCAAAACAGAAAATGCCCTCTCGGAGGGGCTTTGCCCCTCCAACCCCGAGAGTAGTAGTAGTCCAGTGACTGAAGCCGATAAAAATGCGAAATCTCATGATTTACCTACAGTGTCCCATCCCCCCTCCGCCCCAGGAGCTTTACCTGTGGTGTCTCAAAAATGATACCTGGTACAATAAAAATCTATGAGAAACTAACATAAAAAAAATTCTCCCGCAAACACACAATTTCTATTACGTCTTCATGAGAAAAAATTGACAGAAATAATTAATGCTCAACGATTTAACATAAATATAAATGCACCAGCAACCCCTTCAGTCAGATTTCTCCAGAAAACAAGACTTGTTACCCAGAATATTCATGAAATCGCATGAAATAACGATGAAAAACTGATTGAATTCGTTGCAGGACGAAATAAGCTTAAAAGAATGGGCTCTCTCGTTACGATCAGCATACAAGAACTCCATGGAAATGCTCGGGAACATGGCTCGTAAAGCTGGTAAAATATACGGCACTGAGCGTGACGCAGTGATACCGCCGATTCAACGGTCAGCTAATGGCAATTAGCAAACTGATCCTCAACCGTCAGGGAAAAAAATCGACTAAAATCTAGAAAGAGGAAATTTCAATTCAAAAGAAATAATAAAAAAAATAAAGCACATGTTCGTACTCCAGTCCCACTGCCCCGCAGCAGCGACACCAGCAGGATAATTTTTTTATACAAAAAAAAAGGAAAAACATAAGAGAAACTCAATAAATAAAACAAGAACAAATTTGCTGAACACGAACAAATGATTGAGTAAATTCATTCTAAACCAATTGCGACGAATGAAACATTACAATCCCACAAAGGAACATTATTATTACGTATATTTCCCTATGATCGTGTAAGGCGAATAGCGTCAATGCTGCGTAGAGTACTGCAGATTAGAGAAAAAATAAATAATCAGTTGTGAATTGGTTAATTGGAGAGGAATCAATTTCATTTGGAGATTTGCTGTTGGGGAATATCTTAGAATTTGCTTATCTCATGTCACAATTGAAGATGTTTAGAGAAATTCGGGGTAAAATGAAATACTAGGACAAACTACCATTCAGCACAATTCAGGAAATATTTTTTTGTTTTTAATTGAGGGTCAAATGGTCTTGAGGGTGAACCTACCTTAGAGACATTCGGAGTTGAGGGTCAAATGGTTCTGAGACCCAAATGATCTTTAAAGATGTTTAGAGTTAAAGTCAAACAACCCTTGAAGACATTTGGAATTGTGGGTCAAATGATTTTGAGAGTCAAACGCCCCTTAAAAACATTTGAAGGGGAGGGATAACTGATCTTTAAGGACGTTTGGAGTTGAGAGTCAAATGATTTTGACGGTCAAACGACCTGTAAAGGTGTTTATGATGAAGCTCAAATGGTTTTAAGGGTCAAACGACCCTAAAAACCATCTGTAGTCAAAGGACAAATGATCTTGAGGATCAACGGATCCTTGAGGACGTTTGAAGTTCAGAGTAAAACGACTTTGAAGGTCCAACGAGCCTTACCAGCGTTTGGAGTTTCAGGTTAAATGATTTCGAGAGTCAAACGACCCTCAACTGACTTGTGGAGGTGAGGATCAAATGATCTTAAGGGTCAAACGAGCCTTAAGGACGTTTGGAGTTGAGAGTAGAATGATTTTGAAGGTCAAACGATCCTTAAAGGTGTTTCGAGTTGTGGGTCAAATGGTCTGAAGGGTCAAGCGACCCTGAAAAACGTTTGATGTCAAAGGACAAATGATCTTGAGGGTCAAACCGCCCTTAAGGACGGTTGGAGTTGAGGGTCAAATGGCCTTGAAGATCAACTGACCCTTAAGAACGTTTGGAGGTGAGAGTCGAGACCCTTGAAGGCATTTTCAATTGTGAGACAAATGATTGTGAGGGTTAAAAAACCTTCAAAGACGTTTGGAGTTGAGGGGCAATTACCCTTCGTGACGTTTAAAGTTGACGATCAAATGATTTTGGAGGTCAAACAACTTATGGACGTCGGCAGACGAGGTCAAATAGTCTTGAGGGTCAAACGATCCTTAAACACATTTAAAATTAGAGTTCAAACGACCTCTGAGGAATGTTCAAATGTTCTTGAGGGTCAAATAGCCCTTGAGAACGTCTAGAGTCAAGGGTCAAAGTGTCAGAGCAGACTGATTAGAAAGGGTCCTTCCATCCTAAGACCATTTGACCCTCAACAAAAAACAGAAAAATCCTGAATTGTAAAAAAAACACTAATTAAAATTCTTTTGATAAATTCACAACTGAAATAAGTGCTTCGTAAAAACTAGGAGGTGGGAATCCTCTCCGGATGCATAGCGTCGAAATCCATGATTTAAAATGCAATATATTTGTACGTTTAATTAATTGTATTGTGCAGTGGTGGAAACTAGAAATTAGGTAAAAAAACAAATAATGAAGGATAACTGTGCCCTCGAGGGGCAAGTTTACTCAAGGACTGAAATATTTAAGACAAAAACATAATAAAGTCCGAAGGAACATTATTGTTAGTGAAATGCGTGTGAACAGACATTACACAACTCAAATAGACCACAACAGTACAGAACAGTAGAGGTATATTGTAACATGAAAATAATAAGTATCTGTATTCTTATTACTTCTTATGCATCCAAATGAACGTGATGTGTAAGGGGAATATGTGTGAGTCGAGTGAGCAATACATTGTGAGGTATTTAATTGATGGTGAATTTTTTGAGTGAATGAATGAGTGAGTGCTTTTAATCACAGGCCCATAACACTCTTCTTCCCACATTTGATGAATCTAATCATTAATTAACACGGACACATTGTAGTTGAGTGAGATAAGGAGTTGATTTTCGCCTAGCTATCGAAATAATGAGATTATGTAAGTAATTACTAATTATTTTTTTATGAAATATTTTAGTGATGAGCAGGGTCGTGCTCTTTGCGATTACCTGACGACGAATTTAATACGATTATTTAAATTAAGGGATATTATATTTTCGTAAGTTTAGTTTTTGATCAGGGGAGAGAGAGCAGAATTCAATAGTTTATTTTTTTAGCGTTTTTTTTTATTTTAGACTGAGGGAAATTTTTGGTTTTCAATTTTTTTAATTGCAAAAGTTTTCATTCGGTGTTTTGGGCAGTATAGTTTGGATGGAAGTATTTGATATTGAATTTGATGTTTAATTATAGCGTTAATTGAATGTTTATGTTGATTGAATCGATCATTTTTAACGTGAGGATTTTTTTAGAGAATTTTTTTGAGCGGAATGTATTGTTTGATGGCATTTTCTCCAAAATCAGTTAATTTTTTTTTTTGCAATAAAGAAGAATGAAATATTGAGAAATGAAATCAGCGGTTCTTTATTTTTTACGTCATGTGAAATGTTTATTTATCTCGGTAAGGAGTGAATTTAGGAGGAAATGTCAAAAAGACATTCCTGTAGAGAATTTTCTTAGCTGCAAAAACGATCTTAAGACATTTCCTCCTAAAATAAGTGGATACCGCTATATTTTGAAATTTAGCAAATTCTAATTCTTATTTTAGTAATTTTTCACACCAAAAGCGACTGAAAAGTTGACAAATGAAATGAAAATGTTGACTTTCAAAATTTTCAAATGTTAAATATATTATTAAATCGTTCATATGCAATTTAATATTTAATAATAGCAATAATTGATAATTAATTTTGATTGAACATTCTTTTTTTTTACATGATGTAAAATGTTTAATTATCTTGATAGCAGGGATCCCCATCAATATTAAATTTCTGTAATATTGCACGGATTTGACCCTTAAATTATTGAAGGTTTACAATATGTTGATTCAATTTTTCAAATAATATAATATTAATAATCTGATTTTTACGAATAATGAAATATTTAAAATTTGCTAATATGAAACTGTAAATTTACTACTAAGTGAATAATTCAAATTTTTTGAAAGGGGATTTTCGATTACACAAGTAATTGTCAATCTTCCTACCTCAAATTATTGATTGATAAAATAGTTCAAAATTTGAATATTTGAATTGATGATACTTATTTGCTCAAATAATTTCAAGGTTGATGTTATCTATTTAAGGGCTCCAAAAGTAATCGTAATAAAATATTACAAATTTGGCTATCCCTGCTTGGTAGGGAGTAAATTTAGAAAAAAATGTCACAAGACATTTCCGTAAAGAATTTTCTTGTTCACAAAAAAGATCTTGTGACATTTCCTCCTAAAGTCCCTCATTATTGAGATAATTTGACATTTACAAAATGAAAACTCAAAAAATTAGCTGCAAACATTGAGTTTCAGACTTTGACATTTCAAAAACAATATAAAATCTTCCGTATTCAATTTAAAATGAACAAATGTAACGCAAAAAAGCATTTTGCACTCTCCCCGATATCGAAATAAAATGAATGTTCAAACCGACATCTTCCTCTCTGAAAATCCAGAAACGAAATATATAAACGAAACATTAGGGATACAATCAGCTCCTTATTCTAAACAATTACACATCAACTCGTTTACTTAATTTATTTTACTAATTAAAAAAAAGGCAGGACGGTTTTTCTATTGCCCAATGTATAACAATAAATAGACAAAGTGGAAAACGCAATATTTATTACGGTTAATGTATTAGACATGACAATTAACGAGCGACAAAAAATAACAATAAATCGGCCGTTTGTATATTGACAGGAAAATAAAAATCAAAAAAAAATTATATGAACAATTGTTATAACTGTGTACGAAAAATGGAGAAATAACATATGAGAACAATAATTCAACCTGCAATATTTATTTTTCATTAAATCTGGAAAAGAAGTATAATTGGTGAGTGAAGAATCAACTCTTCTGTTGATTTTTCTGGGTGATGTGGATTACACCTTCATCGGAGATTTTCTTTTTCTATTTACATGGTAGAGGCAACATGAGCGCAATCATTGTCATTATTTTTTACATGTGGTGGCAAAGGACGAGAGAAGCTAACACAATTAATTTTTTAGGGTTTTTTAAATAGTTTTTTAAATAGTTTTTTTGTAGTTCGTGGAAAGCACCAGGGACGCATCGAGGATAATGTCTGCTTCTTTTGTTTGGTGATGGGATTGTTTACTTGGAAATGCATTAAAGAATTTTTACAGAGGAGAATGGGACCAATCGATTTTTCACGTCTTGGCGAATGTTTAATTATCTCGGGATCGAGGGGGTGAAGAGGAAAATGTGAATAGGCATTTTTGTGGGGAATTTTGTCAGCTACAAAAAAGTCTTGTTACATTTTGTCCTCAAGAGACGCGTTTTCGAGATAAATAAACTATTGATAAAAAGGAAAATATTACTCGTCGAGTTTTTTCATTTTTCAGATTTTGTTGGACATGAAATTATGTAAATGAGGAGGGACTTGAGGAAAAATGTCAGGAGACTTTTTTTGTAGAGAATTTTTCCAACTGCAGAAAGGTTTGATCATGTGTCATTCTCATAAAGTGACAAATTACTGAGATGATTTAACAACTGGAGTCAACCTGACTGGAATTCAAATTTTTGGAAAATGAGCATTCATTGAACATGTTAATATCTCGTTAATGAATAGATTTGGGAGAAAATGTCCGAAGACATTTTTATGGGAAATTTTGTCAGCTACAAAAAAGGTCTGATGACATTTTCCCTCAAAGGATTCAATGAACATGTTAAATATCTCGTTTCATCAAGAGATGTTCGATAGAAAAAAGTTGAGAGATTTTGATTTTTCTATAGAAATTCTTGGGCATAAATTTTTCAATTTTTTCCAAAGAAATATTTTTTCCACTTCCAAAAAAAAAATATATATAGAAAATGCAGGCCCAACAATTCTAGTATAACTTCAACAGACCTCTCACAGAGTTCCAATAGAAATCAATAGAATTTCTCAGAGAAAGTGCTGGGCTTTCCATTAAATTTTTTCATCCATGAAACCTCCCTCTCCCACCAAAAACAGCAGACACTTCCCCCAGCATTGGATCACACGCTCTGCCAGGCACGTAATTCTATTCAACAACTGTTTCTCCATACTTGAGATTAAACAACTCAACTAAACACTTTCGTATTGCAAAACCACGTTTACCTTGATCAAATCTACACTGAGAGAAAAACCAACGGGTTCCCAAACAAGTCTTGTTTGGGCCAATAAAATCGCTAGTTAAAAATTGCCAGAAAAGAAATTGATTCGAATTTCAAAGTCTCAAACAAGAATAATCGCTGTGTTTTCGATAGTAACGAAATATTTGGCTCAAGAGGCAGATAGTTCACACGAGACGGTGCCTTTTCTGGATGAAAATATATCATATAGAAGTAAATTTATATGTAAAGAGAATGCAATTTTTTGGAACTAGTAAATCAGTAGCGAAGTAGTCAAATGGTTCAAGTCAATTTAGTCTTTAGTTCAGTTTTCCAGAAATATTTCCGAATTTAAGAAAGATAGCGAAATTTTCATAATAACCTTTTTTGTAGATCCAATTGAGTGCTACTAGAAAGAATATGAGAAAAATTTTGCCATCTCCCTTAGTTTTCGAGATATTCATTGAAAACTGGCCAATAGTCAAAATCAGCTTAAACCGTTTGACCACTTTGCTACTGAAATCTATTTTGACGCCAAAAATTTGTCATCTAGGTGAACTCATCACATATTTGGCCCAAAAAATCCTTTTTTGATAATTCTTAAAAAATTATTTTCTTGGCATAAGTAAGCCTTGTTCGAGAACTCTGTCGTTTTTCTCTCAGTGTACAATCATCATTCGACAAAAAAAAAAGTCATAGCCTCACAACTGAGGAAAATGATGGGGCAAAGTGAAATTGTATCAAAAGACGAATGTAGAGCACAGTTCAGATAACTTTTTCTTTCATCTCATTACTAAAAAAAATGAAGGGTCAAATTTTATTTAGGGTCAACCGGAGAAACGAGGAGAGTAATCAGAAGGGTCAAACGTTCTTAAGGATCTAATGGGAGAGACGAGAAAAATACCTATGTGATCACTCCACTCGTCTCTCCCGTTTGACCCTCTTGACCCCTCCACCGATCTCTCCCATTTGACCCTCAAGAAAGTTTGATTCTTCTGATCACTTCGTTCGTCTCTCCCGTTTGACCCTCAACACTGCTTGACCCTTAAACAACGAAATTCGTTACCATTCCACTTTGTCCCACTCTCCCTTGATCACTAAAATTCGACGTCTTTAGTAGAGCGTGGGTCAAAGTGGAACGGTATCAAAAAACGAATATAGAGCAAAATTTAGATAACTTTTTTTCCATGTCTGTTACTCAAAAAAATGATGAAGGGTCAAATTTTATTTAGGGTCAACCGGAGAAACGAGGAGAGTAATCAGAAGGGTCAAACTTTCATAAGGATCTAATGGGAGAGACGAGTGGAGTGATCACTCCACTCGTCTCTCCCGTTTGACCCTCTTGACCCCTCCACCGATCTCTCCCATTTGACCCTCAAGAAAGTTCGAGTCTTCTGATCACTTAAACAACAAAATTCGATACCGTTCCATTTTGTCCAATTCTCCCTTGATCATTAAAGTTCGACATCTTTGGGAGAGCGTGGGTCAAAGTGGAATTGTTCCAAAAAACAAATATAGAACAAAATTCAGATAACTTTTTTTCCATCTCTATTGCTCAAAAAAATAATGAAGGGTCAAACGGGAGAGACAAGCACAGTAATCAGAAGGGTCAAACGTTCTTGAAGGTCTAATGGGAGAGACGAGTGGAGTGATCCCTTCGCTCGTCTCTCCCGTTTGATCCTCTTGACCCCTCCACCTGTCTCTCCCATTGGACCCTCAAGAAAATTTAATTCTTCCGATCACTTCCTTCGTCCCTCCCGTTTCCATACTATTCCACTTCGCCCCACTCTCTCCCAATCAATTGATCAAAAGTTAATACTAACAAATTACGCTTGATTCCCCATTCTAGTCAATTTTTTTCGTGGTGAACACCTGGGTAATTTCGCTCGTAATAGATCCTAAATGGCTCATACAAAAGGAAGAAACAGACATAATGTTTAGATTAAAAAAATCAAGAGCCTCGTTCTGGAAATTCACAGTCGATTGCCCATTTTCCCACGTTTTATATTATAATTTATATACACTTGAAAACGATACCAAGAGGATTAACGTCCCAGTGGCCCATTGATAAATTGCCAAATTAATGCGATGGAAGGAAATTATTAAGCAAGTGGGGGGGCTCACGGGGACTTTTCGGCAGTTTTTAGGAGGAATTTCCCGGTTGGCTATGCGTTCCCTGAGAGGTGACCGATATCCATCATCTCGGTGTCATCCATGCTGTTGTGGCCGAGGGGTTGAAACCTGTGGCAGAAGATCAATACAATTGGGTGAGAGACGAAAGGTCATGGGAATCCTAGTTTTGATAAATTTGGAGTGTCTTGGAGTGGAGGGAATTGACTACAAAAATTTTTGCTGATGTTTCATCTAAGTTCACTGGTTATTGAGATAATTGGATAATTATAAGATGTGATAATCATGAATTTTCATGAAATTAGAGCTTTTTAATTATGAATTGTCTCGACTGCAAGTGGATCTAGAACAAAATGTCATGAGATTTTTTTGTAGCTGAAAAAATTTTTTACAAAAAATGTCTTGACATTTTGGATAATTAAAAGATGTGATAATCATGAATTTTCATGAAGTTAAACCTCTTTAATTATGAATTGTCTCGAATACGAGTGGATCCAGAGCAAAATGTCATCAGATTTTCTTGTAGCTGGGAAAATTCTTTACAAAAAATGTTTTTTCACATTTTTCTTATCGATTTACTCGTTATTGAAATAATTCACCAATTTAAAGATATGAACAGTGAATTCTACTGCAGAATTTGCGATTTTCATAAACTTGGATTTAAAAAACTCAGTTTAAACAAAACGAAGAATGAAATCTTAAAAAATGAAATAACAATCTTGATTTTCACCCTTTTAAGTACTAAAAAAAAATATCAACCCCTTCATATTCAACTATTAGTCTTCATTGACATATTATAAACTAACATTAATTAACATACTTAATAATCAACCGATAATCAACTAAATTTACCTCTGTTGAGTCTGAAAATGCGTTCGATTACTAATATCCAAGCTCCTAGGGGAGAAGCCCCTGCCGCCATGACTCGTCCCCAGATAATTTCGCCTCGGACTCCGTGAATTCCCCACCTTGGACTGACTGTACAAGCCCTCGAGGACACTCGGGGCGACGTAAGTAAAGCCCTGAAAAATCATGTTAGCAGACTCGCTCAGAGTGCTCTCCACAGGCGAATCCACAGGGACAGTTTGCGTGAATTGTTCATCAAACTGTGAAGTATCGTCAGCGCTCTTGAGTGCTGGCTTGAACGGTGGCTCAAGTTTCCTCGATATAACGTCCTGCCAGTTAATATGTTTGAAGAAGTTGTGGCTCATTATCTGTTTGGCGTCCTCGGGGCCAGAGCCAAGTCGCTGAGCAACTTGTCTCTTCAGGAGTTTTCTTATCAGGTCTCTGGCGTCCGGGGTGAGGTATTGGGGTAACGCTAGCTTTCCTTTCAGAATTTTTTCGATTGTTTTTTTTCTGTCGTCTGCGGTGAAAGGGGGCTGCAAATTTCAAAACGCACTTCATTTTTATTCATTTGTTCGGAATCGTAACAAATTTATTCATATTCAGAATTTTATCAGAAATCGATTGCATGCCTGAAAAAATAAGGTTTACGAAAGTTTAAACAATTTATTTATTTATAAACAACGAATGTTTTTAAAAATTATTATTCTGCGCAAAATGTTAATTGAATGACGCTAAATATTCATAATTTTTTTTTTCAATTTTATCATGCAATTTAATTGACAAATTTGATGATTGAAAATGGTTGAATCTATAGTACGGCATGTACCAAACTGTTAAAAAAGTTGAAAAACAAAAGTTAATAAAAAAATGTTTTTTGCTTGAATTGCGTCTCATCGTTGTTTTTCGACATTTCATTTTGCCCCACTCTCCCCTATATATTCAATTAAATTCAATTCATTTATTTCTTTGATGTTACAAAAGTTTTCTTTGTTTTACATCTTCACCAGTCTTTTCACCTCTCATCTTCTTTGAAATAAGATTATAATGTCATATACAGATAAATAAAAGAGTTTCTCTCCTCTATATATATTTGTTTGTATTCTCATTTTGTACATCGATGCATTCTCCCTATTGTTACTGGAAGGGCAATGAACCCAAAAATTTACTGAATAAAATAATAATCATTATACGACGAAAAATTCGCTATTCGACCTCTCACTCACCATTCCAGTCAGCATATCGTACATGAGAGCCCCAAGACTCCACCAGTCCACAGCCTTGCCATGTCCACTCCTGGTCAATATCTCCGGCGCCATGTACTCAATGGTTCCACAAAAAGTATGAGTGACAATTCCCTCGCCAATGTGTTCCTTGCACAAACCAAAGTCCGTCAGTTTGACATGTCCCTCCCTATCCAGCAGAATATTCTCGGGCTTCAAGTCCCTGTAGATGATCCCCAGTTTGTGAAGATGCTCCAGAGCGAGGATGATCTCCGAGAGATAGAAGCACGCTGTGTCCTCCAGGAATATGCCCTCCCTATCGAGATAAGTGAAGAGTTCCCCTCCACACAAGTACTCCAGAATGAGATAGAGTTTTCCACCGGTTTGAAAGGCATAAATCAGGTTGACGATGAAGGGATGCTTCACAGCCTCCAGGATGTTCCTCTCAGCCTTGGTGTGAGCTGTGTCCTTCTGATTCCGAATTATCGAGGCCTTGCAAAGGACTTTCATCGCGAATATACTCCCCTTGTCTTTGCCCGAGACCTTGCGCACTTGAAAGACTTTACCGTATCCACCTTCTCCGAGGATTTTACATAGCTCGAAGTCCTTGGGACCGACCTTGTCCTGACCTGGGTTGACAGTCTGCTCGGACAACTGAACCCTCTCGACATTTTCGGAGCTGGAAGAATGGGGGAATTGCATCTCTCCGATTTTTTGGGGATATCTTTGGATTGTCTTGGTTGTGGGTGATGAGAGAGGATTGAGGGGATTTGTTTTTGGTTGTAGTTGAGGGTCAAACGGCCCTTGGGGACGTTTGGAGTTGAGGATCAAATGGTTTTGAAAATTAAAGAACTATTCAGAACGCGTAGGGTTGAGGGTTGATTGGTTTTGAATGTCAAACGATCCTTAAGAACTTTTAGAGTTGAGGGACAAATAGTCTTGAGGGTCAAATAGCCCTTGAGGACAATCGCAGTTGAGGATCAAATGGTTTTGAAAATTAAAGAACTATTCAGAACACGTAGGGTTGAGGGTTAATTGGTCTTGAAGGTCAAACGATCCTTAAGAACGTTTAGAGTTGAGGGACAAATAGTCTTGAGGGTCAAATAGCCCTTGAAGACGATCGCAGTTGAAGATCAAATGGTTTTGAAAATTAAAGAACTATTCAGAACACGTAGGGTTGAGGGTTAATTGGTTTTGAATGTCAAACGATCCTTAAAAACGTTTAGAGTTGAGGTGCAAATAGTCTTGAGGGTCAAAAAGCCCTTGAAGACGTTTGGGGTTGAGGGCCAAATGGTTTTGAAGATTAAAGAACTGTTCAGAACGTTCAGCGTTGAGGGTTGACTGGTTTTGAAGGTCAAACGATCCTTAAGAACGTTTAGAGTTGAGGCGCAAATAGTCTTGAGGGTCAAATAGCCCTTGAAGACATTTGGAGTAGAGGTTCACATGGTTTTAAGGATTGAGGAATTATTTAAGACATTCAGGATTCAGGATTAACTGGTTTTGAGGGTCAACCGATCCTTAAGAACGTTTAAAGTTGAGGAGCACATGGTCTTAAGGGTCAAACAACATTTAAGTACGTTCAGAGTTGAGGGTTAATTGATTTAGAGTGTCAAACAACCTTTATATAGACTATAGGATTGAGACTTTATTGGTTTGGAGGGTCGATCCTTAAAAACGTTTACGATTGAGGAAAAACTGGTCTTGAGGGTCAACCGGCCCTTAAGAACGTTTACAGTTAAAGGCCGAATGACCAGGAGGGTCAAATGGCCTTCGAGGTGGTTTGGAGTTGAGGGTCAAATGTCTCTTCAGGACGTTTGGGATCGAGAGTCCAATAATCGTGAGGGTCAAATAACCCTTAAATATGTTTATGATTGAAGGTTAAATGATTTCAAGGGTTAAATAGCTCTCGAGAACATTTGGAGATGAGGGCCAAATGATTTTGAGTGACATGACCCTTAAAAACGTTTAGAGTTGGAGGTTAAAGGGTTTTGAATGTCAAATAACTCTTGAGGACGTTTAGAGTTGAGGGTCAGATATAGTCTTAAGGATCAAGCGACTCTTAAAGATGAGGTAATTAAAAAAATCTCCCCTCATTAAATTTGATCCCATGAAAAATGTAATTATCTCGGTAACGATAGGATTTAGCAAGAAGTGTATCTAAACCTTTTTTGTAGCTGCAAAAATTCTCTACAAAAAACATTTGTTGACATTTCCTCCTAAACCCACTCATTAACGAGCTGACGCCCTTCCAACAAAAAGTCCTCTGTCGTGTCACTTTGAAAAAAAGGAAATCGTCAATAAATTATCATTCTCAATTACTTCAACAATCGAATAATCATTACTTACTCCAAAATAGCATTTACATTCGGATTAGTATCGTACTCTCCCTGAAAAACAAACATCATTGTCTCGTCATTGATAGCAATTAACAACAATGAATGCGATAAAATAAATTGATTAACAATTCGAATGTCATGTAATTGTGCAATAATAATTAATTATTACGTACCTCAGCAGCTTCGATAATGTCATCGTCGGACTCATCCTGAGGTACGTTATCACCATCATGTAACTCAATGTCGAATATTCCAGCCATATCTTGAATGATTGTGAGTTGATTACATTTAACAATAATTCGTTTTATTTAATCACCAGTTGTTTCACTCAAATTCTCCGACAATTGTCGTTCAGAGATTTTTTTACGATTGACTTGCCGATTTTTGGGGATATTTCTGTGGAAGGATTTTTAATGTATCCGGGGATTCTGTGTTTTTGTTGAAGCACGATGTCCAGAAGTTGTGAATTTTTTTTACTTTTTTTATGATCATAGCATGGAATATAGTTCGGGTTCTCATGGGAGGAGGAGTTTTCATGAAGCAGGAATTGGGTGCCTTCTCATTCGACGCTAACTTTCTCGGGCAGGATTTGGGTCGTTCCCTAAAAATCGCGGTTTTCTACGGTTTAATAGGAGACAGTAGAGTACTGGTAATTTACCTCTAAATGGTAAAGAAGGTAAAGGTTTTAGGATACCTGCTCCCGGGAAAATAATTTCCGGAACAATATTTCCCATATTTCCCATACTTTATTTTTATTTTTCCTTTCTGCTCCATTTTGTGATTCGTTTACTTGTATTCGGCTCCATTGGTTATTTATGTTTAACTTACTCTGTATTTATTTTCTTATATTTGTAATGATTTAATTTATTTATTCCACGTATGGCTTTATGTTATATTTGTTAATTTTTTCCATAAAGTTTTTCTTCATTTTTAAATATTTTTTGTAATAATTTTACACCTGCGAAGGGGAGAGGGTTTTTTTTATTTTAGGAGTACTCTTCACCGTTTTTTTCAAAGGATTTTCTGTTTTTTGGAGCGAAACTTTTCGAGGATCAATTTTTCAGGGAACATTTTTTCGGAAACAAGTTTCCGGCGGTAGCCTTATACCTTGCGAGGGTCAAACATCACGAGGGCCATACCTTACAAGCATGAAACGTCCTGAGGCTCAAAACATTAAACGTCATAACTCGCAAAGATCATATCTTGCGAGGATCAAATGTCGCCCGGATCATATCTCGCATGGGTCCTGCCTTGTGAGGGTCAAACGTCGCAAATACCATACCGCACAAGGGGTCCACGTTGCAAGATTCAAACGTCGCAAGGATACCTTGCGAGGGTCATGTCTCCCTTTAGACCCTTGACGATTATCCTTATTCCTGCTCCTTTCGTTTGACCCTCAATATTCGGAACGTTGCGATTGTCCTTCCTACTTCCCCGGTTGCCGTTTATTGTCGTTTGACTTTTGAGATTGTTCTGCCTATCTCTGTTGTTTGACCGTTGCGACCTTTGACCCTAGCGAGGTATAACCCTTGCGATGTTTGACCCTTGTGGGGCATGACCCTTGCAACCCTGTCAACGGGGTTGTTCTCGCACCAAACAATTGTGTTGTTCTCAATCTCGGACACACGCGGTCAAAAAGGTCTAAAATCTCCTTGGCAAATTACTCGTTTTTTTACATATAGAAAATTAGGGAAAATACCGGTGGGATTTTACTTTTCCAACCCTGTCGACCAGCGATAAGGATCAAAATTACAATTTATTGCTGTACAACTAGTGAATTTTCTAACAAAAATCTAGAATTTAAGGGTCAAATAGTCATAATTCACAAATCAACTTCATCTTCGATGATCGATAACTCAAGATCTACAGTATAAAAATCAACGATTATATCTTTATGTAATTTCAAAGATCTCATCAACCTTCAAACTGACCTAACATTTAACAAAATTGAATCATTCCATTAAACAAAATAGTAACAATAATCATGAAACAAAAAAATAATTTTAACAGTTCAATTAATATTGCTGTATAAAATGAAATAATTTCATAAAAAATATATTTTTTGTTCTTCAATTTATAAATAAACATTCAAAGAGAATTTCAACCAATACAAAAAATAATATCAATTTTTTCAACTTCAGGAAGTACGACATCACTAGCGCCACAATAGAGGATCCCTCTTTTCCTTCGGATAACCTAATAGCGTGTCCGTCGTTGCGATAAACGAAGTCGCAAATCCAAGGTAATCAGGAGTTTTATAAACAATCGGTGGTGATTATCAAGTGATTATTGATCCTCAGGATTCGATCTTCATTATTATAACAATATTTTTGGTGCTTCATCAGTACTTTATCGATAATTTACGTGAAGTGAAGGGCTAGGAGGTTATGTCACCAGTCCTGCGATCATGCATTCGATTCAGTGGTCAAGCCACAGAGAGAAATAAACAAAATTTTATTAATAGTGGATTAATTGTTCTTTACGTATAGAAGTGTCCATCAATCAGCTAATTAATTGGAATTATCGAGGAGCATTTATTCGATATTTATCATAGTCTGTCGTTTGTTGCTGTCAAAATCGTTGGGGTTATGGTTGTTATTGTTAATGATTAATTGTTAATTTGTTTTTTTATTGTGATTTAATTGATCATTTCAGTCATGGTGCGAATGAACGTTCTTAGTGATGCTCTCAAAAGCATCAACAATGCTGAGAAGAGGGGCAAGAGGCAGGTGCTCCTCCGTCCCTGCTCCAAAGTCATCGTCAAGTTCCTCACAGTCATGATGAAGCATGGTAATTAATGAGAGAATAGTACGAGAAATATGTACATTTCATTTTTTTATTAATCTTGACGACTCACTGAATTTTCAATGAAATTTAACTTGATGAAAGTAGAATTATTTCCCTTTGTGAGAAGTTCATTTAATATTTGTCTTATGAGCATTAAAAAATTATCAAAAATGTCCGTTTTGCTCCACCCTCGCCTGGTGTAACGAATCCCTAATATTTCCAATTGCATTCCATCTTTTAAGGTAAATGTACCTATGGTCGTCTCTGTTCCTATGTTCGTCCAGTTTTCGCGAGCTAACAGATTTGAATCATTTTGATAGTCCCAAGAATCTATTAAGTGTAAAATACGATTGGAGGTGTTATTTTAGTTGACCAGGAAAGTTATCTACACCAATGGACAGTTATTTATTGAAAAATAAGAGAGAAAAATCCCATTCACATCAACTTGTGCCACGACAGAGTGAATTCTTAAGGGGAAACGGAACCCCTTTGTCCATATGAACTTTGAGAAATGTGTTTTCTCCTGCAATTATTATTTTTTATTTATGAAACTACTTCATTAACCCAACAATACAATGATCGNACGGAACCCCTTTGTCCATATGAACTTTGAGAAATGTGTTTTCTCCTGCAATTATTATTTTTTATTTATGAAACTACTTCATTGACTCAACAATACAATGATCGAGTCGATAAAGTAGTTTCATAGATAAAAATTAATAATTGTAGGAGAAAACACAATTCTAAAAATTCATATACACACAAGGGTTCCGTTTCCCCTTAAGCCGTAAATTAAGAAACTTACAATTTTTTAATGTTGATATCTCCGTCCTAATAGTAAAATGGGATTAAAAATCCCTTGCCTGAGGTTTCGAAAAATTAAAAATTCAGTAAAAATTCATAAATTATGATATCTTAATATTTCACTGATATATCGGCAATTGAAAGAATAGGTACAATGAAAATGGCATTAATTCTATGCTCGGTTTGCAACCAACTGTCTACTGGTAACGGACCAAACGGATGAAAAAATCATTTGAAAGGTTGGACACTCCAATTGAAATATAATTTTGTGACTCGAGATATTTTTTAATGTTGTTTTATCGCAAAATACGATACTCACAATGTTGTTAGTTGGATGTAATCTATTCATATCACTCAAATCAGGAGACGAGGATAGGGACATGTGTCAAATGTACATGGGACAAGTGAGCGAGCGTAGGCACAGGAGACTTTTCAAATTTATGGACGATTATTTATTTACAAATAGTAGTTGTCATGATTAATATAAGTGAATTCTAATCCTGAAGGTTTTACCCTCTTATGTCTAATTTAAAGCATCTCATCTTCACACTCATTTCGAAAGAAATATTGGACTAATGATGTGTTCTCCTTGGCTAGACGAGCGTAAGGTCATTTACCTGCATGAATTTTTTTTTCCTCTTCAGACCTGTCCTGAAAGGACAGAATACGAGAATACGAAATCACTACTCAAGCGGATTAACTAATTAACTAATTTATTCGCATCACTCAATTTGTTCTATTCATGTTTTAAATCTTCATTCTAATTCAATAAACTCCTATCAGTTAATACCTACCGATATTACATTTAGCTTTGAGGAAATGTGGGAAAGGTATTTATGGAGATGTTGATGGTCTTTCGTTTTTTATTAAAGGCTACATTGGAGAGTTTGAGATTGTCGATGATCACAGAAGTGGAAAGGTCGTCGTCAACCTCTCGGGGAGATTGAACAAGTGCGGTGTTATCTCACCGAGGTTCGACGTACCCATCACAGACATTGAGAAGTGGACCAACAATCTTCTTCCATCCCGTCAATTTGGGTAATTTACCGTTATTCATTATCTATAATCATGAAGAGTTGTGAAATGAGTGGAATGCGACAATTTTTCTAAAGTTGGCATTATTCTGGTGATGAATCATTTTAGGGAGAAATTTGTTCTCAAATTTTCTTTATTAATCCACTCATTATAGAGATCATTCGTAAATTAGAAGAAGTGGAAAATGGACTTGACTGCAAAATTGTAATTTTTATGAAATCAGAGGTTCTTAACTATGAAATTATCTCGCATGCGAGTGAAGTTAGGAGAAAATGTCGTTAAATTTTTCTTGTAATTGAAAAAATTCTCATCAAAAATGATCTTATGACATTTTTTCCTAGGTTTACTAATTATCCAAATAATTAAACAATTCCATGGAATTATAGTTTATCAATCATTAAATTATCCCCAATACAAATGGATTTAGAAGAAAATGTCATTAATTAAAACTTTCTTGTGCACTTGAATATCCTTAATTTATGTTTCACCTTGTCAATTCAATTTTGAATAAAATTAAATAAAATGATGAACGTCCTAACATTGGGAATTTGTGCTTACAGATATGTTGTTTTGACTACCAGTGGTGGTATCATGGACCACGAGGAGGCCAGGAGGAAACACTTGGGAGGCAAGATCCTTGGATTCTTCTTCTAAATTTTTAATTTATAGAAAATAAAAAAAGACCTGTCTTAATCTCGTTTGTTGTCTATTTCCTCCCTCTTCCATCCCACTTTATGAATTTTATTCGTTCAGAGGAGGCTGCAATGACTCTTTCGCATAATAAATTCAAAGTAATTAACATTCCAAAATATTTGAGAGAAGAAATTCATGTGGAATCCTAGGGAATAACGAACGAAGTCTGTTAACAATTTATCTCGATGATGAATGGTCCCTTGAGACGTTCCGAAATGTTTTGTGCAAATTGTTATTTAAAAAAATCTCGATAGAAGTAGTTTTTACATCCACAAAACTTTCGTGAGATCATGTGAGATGGACAAACTTTGGGGGCGACTATTTTTAAAAAATCCAAATTTGCGTAAACAATTTTTTTTCTCTAAATTGGAGAAAAGGTTAAATTACGTGCAGAAAACAAAATTAGTGTCCTGAAAGCATTATCTACACTAATTAATTATTGAATTTTAGGTGAGCTATTTTAGCTGTATAGGAGTGCGGTCGGTTCTCGCGTGCGCCCCATTCTGTTATGAGCGCGTACTTGGCGAGAGACGCTACCGCATCCCCTGAAAAATCTGTGATAAAGCATGACTTTAATCACCTTCGCGAGGTGTAATCTTCGCGAACCTTCACGGTTTACGATAAAAGGTAACGTCGGCTGGTTTTTTACATTGTTTACATTTATTTCGTAAATTACGGGATTTTTACAATTATGTCATGTAAAAAATTGCGGTTATCGACAGATGCCCAACCCTGTCTCCCTGTGCCCTAGCTCCTCCTACCCCCGCTAGATGTCACCAGCCCCCTAGAATCCCAGCCCCTATCCTCGGGGGAAATACGGTCGCGCCTGCCCTGCGATTGGCCCCTCACTACTCCCCCCCCCCCCACTCAGAATGCCGACGTACCGTGAATTCGAGGTGCATTCCACAGTGAAGCGCAAGCGAGTCTCGACTGTTTGATTGTGTCTCCTGCCGCCTGTCGTGTGTTCCCCGATAAAAGTGAAAAACCAACAGATTCTCTCGCAGTTCCTCCCCCCAGTGCCCCACCAATCCCTCAAAAATAATTGAACCCCTAATTAATCCGTTCGACAATCGCTGGAAGAAATTTTACAGCTGTTGTCAAACAAAACAAATAATCCGGTGGCTCGCGATCGAAAATCGTTTACGTTTCCAACCTGATGCTAGGCTGGGTCTCCGCAGGGTTGCCAGGTTTGTCCTAAAGGTGAACGTAAACCCATTCTACCCCGCAAGACAAAAAAAAGTGACGAAGGATTATAATCGCCGAGAAAAACCGAAAAAAATAGAGAACAAGTGATTTAATGAGGAAAAATGTGCGATTAATTTCGATTTTTGCAGTGATTACTCGTTAATTTTAATGAAAAATCTGTGACTCGTGGGGATTAATCATTGTGACCAGGTGATGAGAGAAATAAAAGATGAAACGAAGACGGAATAGATGACTCGATTTAATTTATGTGGACGTGAGAAACAACGAAGTGGTTTTTCTCCTATTTTTGTGAGAACAATTGAGTTTGAGACAATGGGAAGGTACCGGTGGAACAGTTCCTATTGGTCTGTCGTGTGAATTGTGCGTCGGGCTGAGATTGTTTGTAATTTATATTAATATTTAAAGGGGGATTGTGAGTGAGGGGTCATCGAATCAGTGGGAAAATGGGATTTAGGATGAGATTCACGACGCTACTGGGGATTTTCGTTACGGTACATCTACTGGCGAGTGCGGGGACCGCCACAGGTGAGTGATGATGATTTATTTTGGGGGATTTGATTGGAGTTGATGTGTCATGAGGTTTTTTTGGTGAGAATTCAGTTGTTGAGGGATTTAAATTGTATTCAAGTGGGAATTTTTGGGGCAGTTGATTTTTCACATTTTGGAATTGTTGATTTATCTTGAGAACGAGTGGTTTAGGGGGAAATGTTATAGGAGCTTTTTTGTAGCTGAGGAAATTCTCTACAAAAAATTTCTTGTGACATTTCCTCCTAAATCTACTCATTATTGAAATAAGTTGATAGTTAGAAAATGTGAGAAGTAGACTCACTGCAGAACTGAATTTTCATAAAATTAAAGTTTGTTAATCACGTCATTTTCTCGAAAACGAGTGGATGTAGGAGGAAATGTCTTCAGAGCTTTCTGTAGCTGAAGAAATTCTCTACAAAAAAAATCTTGTGATGTTTTCTCCTAAATCCACTCATAATCGTGATAATTCAGCAATTAGAAGATGTGGAAACTACATGCGACTGCAGAATTGAAATTTTCATGAAGTTGAGTGTCTTGATTATGAAATTCTCTCGCACACGAGGGAATTTTTGTTACGGTACATTCACTGGCGAGTGCGGGGACTGCCACAGGTGAGTGATGATGATTTACTTTGGGAGGTTTGATTGGAGTTGATGTGCCTTGATACTTTTTTTGTTGAGAATTCAGTTGTTCAGGGATTTAAATTGTATTGAAGTGGGAATTTTTGGAGGAATTGATTTTTTATGTTTCGAAGTTGTTAATTTATCTTGAGAACGAGTGGCTGTAGGGAGAATTGTATAGAAGCTTTTTTGTAGCTGACAGAATTCTCTACAAAAAATTTCATGTGCCATTTTCTCCTAAATCGACTCATTACCGTGATAAATGGGCAATTCAAAGATGATAAAAATTGATGTTTTTGCAGAATTGAAATTTCCATGAAATTAGAGTTTGTTCATTATCAAGTTAGCTCGAAAACGAGTGGATTTAGGAGTAAGTCTCTTCAGAGCTTTTTTGTAGCTGAGGAAATTCTCTACAAAAAAGTTCCCGTCACATTCTCTCCTGAATCCCCTCATTATCATGATAAACACGCAATTACGAGATTTCATATTTCTAAAGATTCATGAAAATTTCAAGAATCTTTCGCTGGTTTCCAGCTTCATGCGCTTGCCAACCGAACCATCGGTTTTGAATTGAGATGAGCGATATGCCCCACCGGGCATTGAAGTCTCCAGCATCACCGCGTGCTCACCACGCCCCGCCAATAAACTCCCGCAATGAAATCGAAATAATTGGCTCCCTCGAGTGAATCAAATCCACCCCAGTTCCAAAGACCTTTTAAGCCCCCTGACATCTGCTTGCGCCCCATCCCCCCAGGTTTTTCATCCCGGATTTGGTGAGTGGAGTAGGACAAGCTGATGAGAAGTGTTATGTGAGGTTTAATTGAAATTTATTGGGATCATCTCTCGGGGCAATTGCGTCAAGTGAGTTAAATCGTTGACCCCGGGACTCCGTGGGCGGCAGCTTCGACAGTTAATGACAAGTGGCACTTCATCAACGCGTCGTCACAGGGTTAAGGGGAAACGAAACCCCTGCGTTTATATGAATCTTTAGAATTGTGTTTTCTCCTGCAATTATTATTTTTTATTCATTAAACTACTTCATTGACTCAACAATGCGATAATCGAGTCGGTAAAGTAATTTCATAGATAGAAATTAAGGAGAAAGATATTGCAGGAGAAAACACAATTCTAAGATTTGATGTAGACAAAGGGGTTCCGTCTCCCCTTAAGGTGAAACGAAACCCCTGTGTCTATATGAATTTTTAAAATTTTGTTTTCTCCTGCAATTATTATTTTATATTTATGAAACTACTTCATCGACTCAACAATGCAATGATCAAGTCGATAAAGTAGTTTCATACATAAAAATTGATAATTGAAGGAGACAACACAATTTTAAAAGTTCATACAGATAAAGGGGTTCTGTTTTCCCTTAAGGATGTATCACACCCTTTTCCCCAAAATTCACGTTTTTAGAATTTTTCTAGCTAATTGTTGATCGGATTGACGTGAAAAAATATAACGTTTTTGCGTTTTATCATTACTTAATGACTCACGAAATTTCATGATCGTGCAATCATTTTCCTGCGTTTTTTCTAAAACTTTTCGGAAACTCACAAAACTTTAGAAAAAATGCAGGAAAATGATTGCACTATCATAAAACTTCGTGAGTCAGTCAAGAATAATGAAACGCAAAAACGGTATATTATTTCACGTCAATCCGATCAATAATTTGCCAGAAAAATGAAAAAGACGTGAATTTTTAGTCCATTGGGATTCGGTTCGAGGTGACAGCGATTATTTTTTGAGGGGTTTTCCTGATGGGGCAGTTGCGGAAAGTGGGAAAGTGAGGATTTATTGTAGGTTCAGGGGAAAGTGAGGGATACCTGGGGTTGGCTCGGGGTCTGCAGAGCTTTTGGGGTCATTGGGATCTGTTGCCTGTATTTGGGAATGGGATATACCAAGAGTATTTTTTAGGCGCAATATTAACTTTAGTTTCTGAAAATTTTTCCGAGAAAACGATTTTTGAAAAAATGAAATTTAAAACTCATAGTACTCGAACTAGAATTTTTCTAACAAAATTCTCACCGTGTAGTCTCCCCTTAAGGATTACACCCTTTTCGCCAAAATTCACGTTTTTTGCATTTTTCTGGGAAATTGTTGATGGGATTGACGTGAAAAAATACTGTTTTTGCGTTTTATCATTAATTAATGGCTCATGGGGCGATTTTTGCTCCGAGGGGGGTAGATCTGGGAGGGACGAGGAAAATCCAGTTGACTGACGGGTGAGACTGTCTCAATGTGGATAGAATAGGAAAACCATAAAATTATCCTCTAAACGACTAGCTTTGAGAGAAAATGTCACAAACCTTTTTTTTTAGCTTATGAAATTCTCTACAAAAAAGCTCCCGGGTATTTTTCTCTAAAACAATTAATTATCGAGATGATTATTGTTAAATGAGTCATGAAAAATCGACTCGTTTAGTTCTACTTCGCCCTTCCGTTACGGATTAAATTGTCTATTTTCTCCCAGAAGACCTAAAAGTTCATGGACTTCTTGACTGTATCTAAAAGAGGAAAAAACTCACACTGAAAAACACGTGAGTGGAACTGTCAACGTCATTATGAATGATTCGGAGCATTAGAGTTGGAAAAAATTAATGGTCAAGTAGAATCCTAGTTTAATGGTAAACTGGCGATCCTAGGAGAAAATGCCGATGGAACTTTTTCTGATGAATTTTGTGCCCTACAAAAAATCTAATGACATTTTCACTTCCCCCCTCCCCCCCACCTAATTATCGAGATAATTTAACAATTTGAAGATATGAAAAATTAACTCTAATGCAGAACTGGCTTTTTAACAAAATTCGATTTCGTTAGGAACGCAATTATCTCGAAAACGAGTGTTTGTATCAAAAAATGTCAGAAAACCTTTTATGAAGCCCGTGAAATTCTCTACAAAAAGTATTCAGAACATTTACTCCTAAAACTGTTCGTTATCGAGATAATTGAACAATTAGAACATGTGAAAATTCGTTATTCCTCCAGAATTCTAATTATCATCAAAACTCAAGCCTAAAAGTTCATGGGCTTCGGAATTCATCCCAAAAGAGGAAAACCTGAGACTGAAAAAACACGTGAGAGGAAGGTTTGACGTCATTACGAATGATTTGGAGCATTAGAGTTGGAAAAAAATTACTGGTAAACTAGGGGTCCTATAAGAAAATGTAAATTCAATTTCGTTAGGACCGCAATTATCTTGAAAACGAGTGTTTGTATAAAAAAATGTTAGAAAACCTTTTATGAAGCCCATGAAATTCTCTACAAAAAGTATTCAGAACATTTACTCCTAAAACTGTTCGTTATCGAGATAATTGAACAATTAGAACATGTGAAAGCTCGTTATTCCTCCAGAATTCTATCATCAAAACTCAAGCCTAAAAGTTCATGGACTTCGGAATTCATCCCAAAAGAGGAAAACCTGAGACTGAAAAAACACGTGAGGGGAAGCTTTCACGTCATTACGAATGATTTGGAGCATTAGAGTTGGAAAAAAATTAATGATAAAAATGCAAAAATCGGTGGGAAAGAAGACCCCACATAGGATGCAGGTGAATGGCGTATAAATGAGGCCGCCTATGCGGTCCCAGGGGCAAGGAGAGAGGGAGGAGTGGTATATCCGGCGTGTACTCCAGGAATGAAGGAGAAATAACGACTGGAAACGAATGGAAGGACAGGCAAACTACGTGTGATTAAAGGGGGAACAAAGGACTACAGGGGCGTGGGGAAAACACGCAAATCCCTTACTTTTACGATTCCTCGGTAACAATTTTCATCGAATGAATATAAAGTACGAATGAAGGATATTTCATCAATTCGTTTGATGCTCTATATTTCAAGTTTTTTCAAATAAAATCAGTGGAACGGAGGAACTGACGGGCGAAAACCGATTTCTCATGTCTTGTTGAACGTTAAATTATTGTGTTGACAAATGATTTTGAGGAGAAATGTCAGGGAACATTCTTTTGGAGAGAATTTCACGCCTTTTTCGAGCCAGTACAAATGACTTATTGACTTATGAATTATTTAGGGAATATCTCCTGAATGGCGAGGTTTAGATGAATTTATCATAACAGATTTTTGTAGGGAATTTAATTTACTGCAACAAATATTTTATCACATTTATAAACAGACCTACTACCTACAGGCTTTACTGCGTAATGTATCTAAAGAATAATGACAGCACATCTAGAGAATAACTTTACAAATTACGTCGTAAATGTCTCCTAAACGACGAGGTTTGCGGAACTTTATTACCAGATGTTTTTGTAGGAAATTTAATGCTCTACAAAAAAGATGATGCCACATTTTCACCTAAAGCCATTCATTTCCGAGCTAAACTACAAAAACTAAAACGTTCAAATTTTCACGTTTTTC